TGTAAGATACTGTCTCGCTCGGTAGAGCGCAAACAATGCACAGGGATACCACAGAACATCCTTCGCGCGCATCCGTCGAAGGTAGGTCACCCCGCCCACTTCGCGGCGCACCCCCGCACCTCACTGAGGTCTCACGATGACATTACAGTACCACCAAGTGTGAGTGAAGCGAACGATTTGCATATGTCCGTGTTGTTTCTCATTGGCTGACTGCCGTGTGGACCAAGCGCGAACCGTATGCCTCACTGACAACGCGACGTCTGTCAAGTATCGCGAGCTGACCCGCCGCGTGCTACGGCTGCGGCGGGTCAGCTCGCGATGGGCTTGCTATGGGCTAAGAATGATTTTGGGTTGCTAGGTGCAAGCATCACCTTTGAGCTACCGATGTCCATGTCAAAAGAGGTTTCGATGCTGATGACTTTCTAAGCCTCGAACAACATAAACTCTCGGGATTGGAACTCTCGGGATTGAAAATGACAGCGCCCCTTATTCGAAAGTGTTCCATCGTGATGCTGACAATTTCTTTTGAGGATTCGAGGATCACTCCGACTTTGCATGGTGCTCAAACACTAGATGACTGTTTTGAAAAGGTCTGATCCAGGGTTTTTAAAAAACCAAATAACCAAAAAAGTAGGGAAAAATAGTTAGAAATAGAATCGTCAATAGGTAAAAGGAAAAACACCTGTTACTCAGAGGCATTTTAACAGTTTCATTGGGGCTGACCTTTGTCAGAATTAATGCTGGTGCTGGACGGGGGCATAGCCATCGAGGTTGTTCAGTAGAAGGAACGTGCGATCTCATCGTCGGTGGAACTGGGTCACGCTGCCGTCCACGTATCGCCGCTTTCATGGTCCGCTGGCCGGCCCACGAACGCGCGAGTGAGCGAGCACACCGGTCGGGGTACTACTCGGCCGGCGGTATCGACCAAAATCCAGTTGTACAAGGGACAAGCGCCGAACCCGGTGCACGGACTATGAAAGCAGCCGCTCCCGCGGTTCCGGGCTGGACACTTTCCAACTGTGAAATGGTTTCCAAGTTCAAATTATCCGCTGCGCGCGGATACTTGAATGCAAATCAGAATACGCTCTTTAGAAATAAATGAGATCTATTTGTAGGAGAAGCGTAGTGAAGTAGAGTAAGGCTCGTCAAATTTTCTCAATCTAAAAAATAAAGGATTTAAGAATGAGGGTGTTGGGCGGTGAGACTCGCAGCTAAATCTACACCCCGAAAAATTAACGGGCGAGTTGTGCGCGACATTTGTCAACTTTTTGCGTCAACTGTCTAACTGAAAACCAGGCAATTCGTTGCGGGACCATAGCAGCTACCTCTCAACGCCGATCAATGCAACTTCCCCTCTTATTCTCTTATTCACTACATTATTTTGCTGCGATTCTGATCTGGTATTCCTCTACTCCGCAAGATTCTGTGCTGAAACTACTCTGCTGCCATTCTACTGGATACCCTGCGCTAACCGAGGCTCAAGCACTGTTCGCCTTTCATTTGTGTTTTTATTCTGTTGGTACTACATTCTACTTGTTATCCATTCACACTTTGGCTTTTGTAACTCGTATTCCGTATTTGACAATTCTGACTCTGCTTTGCAGTGACTTCGTATTTGACGCTGCTTGTAATTATAATTCTGTTATTGCTATTCACCGCAGCCTGCATACTGGGAAACAATTTTGGTGAGATTTAATCTACATTTATTGCTTCTTCGTTTCTAACTTTTGTTTTTTAATTGTTCTTGCGCCTTTTGAGATTCATTCTGTGTATTGCTTTCATATAGCTGTCTTTTAGTTTTTTCTGCTTGAATTCTCTCCTAGTCACGCATTTATGCGGCAGCATATAACTGAACTGTGGGAGGACTCATATGATTCTACCCCTCTTCATTTTTATGCTGCTTCGGAGGTGAATTCACAACTTTCTCGCTAATGTCCACCATTCTGCCTCTCAACCAAGCAATGAGTAGTTTTCGCTGCATCTTCTCCACTTATATTCTTTAACTGCTTCCACGAACTCTTCTCTTGATCGATTTTATCCAGTAACCGTTCACAATTACAACAGCATTATTAATTCTACAATATGGAATAGTTCGACGATAAAATTTCATTTCTCATGTCACCTGCTGCATATGCTTCCAGTTTGCAATCTTAGAAGAATTTGAGTGTGCTAGTGTTCCAACTTTGTTGTAATCCTTCAACAACTGATTATAACTTATTCGGCATACTGTCGCGGTGAATAGGTACACCGTGCTGCCGTTTGCATAAATAGGGTTGCTAGTATCACACTGATTTACAGTGAGTTTCGTTTCATACCATAAGGTTTTATCAGCGATCGGTTTGGGCCTTTGTTGGATGCGAGCTACCTCATCGCATTTCACTTTCGTGTTTTCATTNGCAAAGTAGAGTCAGAATTGTCAAATACGGAATACGAGTTACAAAAGCCAAAGTGTGAATGGATAACAAGTAGAATGTAGTACCAACAGAATAAAAACACAAATGAAAGGCGAACAGCGCTTGAGCCTCGGTTAGCGCAGGGTATCCAGTAGAATGGCAGCAGAGTAGTTTCAGCACAGAATCTTGCGGAGTAGAGGAATACCAGATCAGAATCGCAGCAAAATAATGTAGCGAATAAGAGAACAAGAGGGGAAGTTGCATTGATCGGCGTTGAGAGGTAGTTGCTATGGTCCCGCAACGAATTGCCTGGTTTTCAGTTAGACAGTTGACGCAAAAAGTTGACAAATGTCGCGCACAACTCGCCCGTTAATTTTTCGGGGTGTAGATTTAGCTGCGAGTGGCGGTGAGTTGAAGGTTCCCCAACGAAAATATGCAAAACCGCCCAGCACCGATGTCGTATTCAGATCCGTGCGCGGGAAAATAATTCAAACCGCAAAACCCTTGCACCGTTCAAACAAGTCCGCCTTGAGATCGCACTGGGATGCGCCGAGCGCGGTGTATGCGGCGTGACCAAATTCATCGACGATAGGAACGGAGCGCACTCGGGCAAGTGGAGAGGGTAAGATCATAAACTAGGTCATTTTAAATTAAAGTCTCGAGGAAGACAAAATATGAAACAGCAAAAACTACGGTGAGCAGTTTATTTAGAAGAAACAGATCTTTCCAATCTAAAGGGAGAGTTCGCCCCACACTTCCCTATTTTACCTAATATTTCAAACTTTCAAACTTACTTTCTAAAAATTCATTAAAAACGATCACAATAACCTTCGCAATCGAGGTACTGCCCAAGCTCCTGATGAAACTAAACTTGAAGGTTACGTATACCTGCATTTTCGTCAAAATTCAGAACTACCATTTCTAAAATATCGAATCGTTCAGGGTCATATTGATTGTGCTCCACGAGCTGATGCTGTCTTCATTAAATTCGACAATCAACCACAAGACGCATGGGCAATCGATCAAATATTCGTGAATACAAATTATCGATTGGGACCAACTGAAGAGCACGAGTGAGCGCGGTGTCTCCCCTTCTCTCATCCTCTTCCTTCTTCTTCTTCCTCCTCAGTACTACTAATAACTGGACATTGGATAAAAATCATGCGAATTTCTGCAATCGTTAGGAATCATTGATAAAGGACACAGATGAAGCTACTGATACTGAGCTTCTAGAAACACTAAATTAACCCAGGATTATCAAACCCTCCATCCTCCTCCACCGGTTATCTGGTACCTGACTCGTCCGAAAGGATAAAAGTACTGACTTCCACATCGGCTGACCTCCGCAAGTCATGTAGCGCCACATATCCTTTCAATACGCCTTCGATTCTGAATGGAAGCCGAATGCGTGGGCGCATCCCTCGGACGGGATTTATGAAAGCCCCAAAGCTTTAACCTCATTCACCAACTGCAACAGGGATTGTTTACATTCGGGTAGTGAAGGCTTGATACTACCAAATTCACGTGTCAGCACGAAATAAGAGGCAAAATTCCAATTTACATCATACGGAAGCAAGCAATAAATAAACAGCTACCAGTAACACACTTGGATGAAATAAGTACTTTGTGTCCCAAATGCGAGTTTTTAGGCAAAGTTGGCATTTTGAACATCCCATATTGATGCCATGTTCTTCGTGGTTGGACAGTGCAGCTACGTATCAGATTGGCCCAAGAAATGGATTATTCATAAGGCATGAATATCGCTATCAACCCTCTAAAGACGAATGGATACGGGATTGGGTATGATTCCTTTCCAGCTGAAGCACGCCTACCAGCCGAGATGTAAAATATTATGATCCCCCTCCCCCCAACTCGTCAATTTTAGAGGCAAAATACCAATCTCAAGCATAAAGTGTAAACACCACAATGTTTAATAAATTGTTTAGCAGTTCCTAATTACAGAGTACAGACCAAATAATCATTGAAAAAAATCGGCCCTTTTTATAGGTGAAAGTCGAGTACATGGCAAACCTCGAAGGGGAAGTTGATACGCTTAGCATTCATTCTTAAAATTAAAGTAATGGAGAGAGATGAATGAATACTTTTCCAGTCGAACTATGGGAACGGCTCCTCGACACTACAATACACGTCTGAGAATTCTTTGCACACAGGAAAATGAGAAAGTAAATAACAAACAACAAAAAACTATAAATGTGAAGTGTTTGTTGGTCAGTAGACAGAAAACAATCGACGACTTCTATTGATTTGAATAAAAAAAGTAAACTAAAGTAAACCATTTATTACGTTTAAGTAGTTCTGATAGTAAAGCATGAATTTTCTGAAAAAAAAGAAAAAAAAATGATTTTTCAACGAAGCAAATTAGTCAAAAAAGTGAACTGCAAACATTCCAAAACAATTCACTGAATCAGTCAGAACTTAATCGCGTAATTAAGACAAAAATACCTCTGATATTATAAGGTAGGTACTGAACATTTAGGGGTATGAACTTGTCGTGAGCACATTTACACAAAATTCATTTATTTTGTTATAATGTTGTTCCTTGTATATGTACAACGTAAACAATAAATAATAGAATATGTTTTTCTATTACAAAATCACACAACACGGCTTTTTCTTCTCCTCTACCTCTTTTACTGATACTTCTGAATCGATCTTAGCTGTTGTAGTCACTGCAGCTTTTGATTTCGTCGTTGTCGCCGTCGTCGTCGTCGTGGGTTCCATTTTTTTCACCTGAACTTCGGTCGATAAGAGTTCAATTGGACAAGATTGACGAGTTAGCTGGTAGCATACGCCACGCACTTGTTTCCTAATAGAAATCAATTGGTATATCTTCAAAGAGATTTCTCGATGGCATTGACCATTTTCTGTCCCTCTCCCACAACCCTCTCCCCTCCCCGTCGCATCGCTAAGCTCGGTACCATTCGAGTGAATGAATAGAATCTCAATGATTGCCAACCTTATTTTAGTTTCCATTTTAAAAGTACAGGTGTACCCAGTGCCTCCACCTGCCACTGCCTTTTATTTGTTCTTTGTTTGGAAAAATCGATTACAAGTACATCAAAAGATATACCACATAAGGCATAAACAATAACGCAGCAACAATGGCCCAATTGAGTCAAGCGACAAAGGAAAGGAGGTAAAGAAATGCGAAAATGACTAGTACTTTACAGCTGGCTGGCAATAAGGTTAAAGGCTTTGAAGATCCGGAACAGGTCTCACCGTTAGGCAGTATTTTAAATTTTCGCTGGAGACTTCTCGAGAAAATGCTCAAAAAAAAAAACGGCCTACCTCATCAATCAGTTGCTCCACAGTTGGCCACTTTTCGTTTCCATCTTCTACGTATTTGTAGAGCACTTTACCCGTTTTATCGACCAGAACTGTTCCACCCTGAAAAATTACTTCACATGGATGCTTTTCTGATTAAAAACGATGACAATTGAACACGGAGCCTAGAATAACCAATAAAATTGAAATAAAAAGAAAAAAAGTTTCGTGAGTCAAGTACTGTGCTTTTGACCGAAACTGTCTGGAGTGAGCCACGAATTCTATAGCCATCCGGTGATTAGTTTGACACTTGGCTTACACAACTATTCTCGCGGATAGCTGCGAACCAACTTGGTAAAAATGCTTTGTTCTTATGATAAAATATCCGGATCTACGCCGATCAAGGAAGATATAGACCGAAAGCGTACGTTTACACCATTACTATCTGGTGAGTCTGGAAGAGTGGGCACGCATGGTAAATCTCAAAATGTAGCGAAATTATCGTGGCACATAAGAAAAAAAAAACTATCGCGATCCACTACGAGTAATCCATTGCATAATCGAATGGCAACTCTGCAATGGTGTGTACCAAACTTACTTTCTGAGTGATGAAGGAAGCTTGATCTTCATTTTGTTCCTTATTTGCCGATTGCGGCCGCATTTCGTCAGATAAAGATGCTTCCACTGTCTGCGAAAAGAAAATTTTGAGCAAAATATAAAAACAAACAGAGCATCGACCAGAGTCGATGTAAATCCAAGGGAAGATCCGTTCGGTACCTTCAAAAGTGATCCCCATCCGATAAAATGTACTGCTGAATGTCGATGTGCTTTCAATTCTGACAGAGCTTCTTCTTCATCATACAATTTTCGAAAAGGTACGCCAATCAACTTGATATAGCCTCCGCCTGGAATTCAGCACTTCAATTTCTTCCAGTTCTCGATGAAACAACCTTCTTATAGTGAGTCCAATCTGTAGAAAAATACCCCTAAAAATTTTGAAAGATTCCGTTTTTCCATAATATTATTTCAGAGATTAGAGGCCCGGGACCTGTTAGAGTGTCTCAGGACCTGGGCAGATTCTTCCGTTTCCACTTTCTTCTTTTCGACCCTTTTTTTTACACCTTCTTTCTGAAAGTTACTTTACCATTGGCGAACAGAAAGTGCAAGACCACTGATCGCATGGATTAACTTATTTTCTGCTGCCTTTCTATTCTTTTTTTTGTTTCCATTTTCCATACGACATTAACTGGAAAAAAGTAATAAGAGGTAATAAGTGGTGGTGCATAGCTAGCCAAGCAACTCCTCATTGGTGGATTGGTGGATTACGCCTGAGCCAACGTGGCATAGTTCGACAGTTCACCTATGAGGAGCGAGCTACTTTCTTCTTATAGAAATGGCAGCCCATCAAATTCTTCTGAGAGGATTTTTTACAACTGGAAAACTCAGAAAAAAAAAAGCAAACAAAGTGAAAAGCTTCAGTTACCAACCTCTGCTACCAATTGGAGGACCTCTGGTTAACAGATATACGTCACAACCCAATTTGTGGAACTCATCCATTTTGTTGTAAAGTCCCATAATATGCTGTGTTACTTCGGCTGAATTAAAAGACCTGAAAGGGAAGCATTCAGTCGTTTAGTGAGACCGAGACACAAAAACCGTCTTTGAATTTCTACTGTCACTATTCAAAGCACTCATTATGAGGAACAAGTGACGTCAAGGTTGAAATGCTAGGCAGTGAGCAAATATTTCGGTCTAATGGTAAGGCACAGTTAAGGATGATTTCAGGGTATTTAGATTTGAACGAGTAATAGAAATGGTAGTTTAGATGGTGGTGAAGAAAACTCGAAAATAGGCGTGCTTGGAGAGAAGTAAGACCTCCAAAATGAGAGTAAAATTAGGGGTTGGGCGAGAATCTGACGACAAGAGTTGCACGTGTGTGCCACCTCGTACAGCTGCCGATAGAAGGTGCCTGTGTGCACCGTGCGTCCCACTGCGATTGGTCCAACTACTAAAGCTTCTATAGAGCTGTGAGAACTCGTCCCATCTGGGAGTGTACGTCGGTTAAGCCGACTTTAGGATCCTTATTACGCAGAGTTCCCAAGTTCATCTCGGTAATCAATTTCAGATACTATTTTTATCGTGAACAGTGCCTTCCAACCATGCGTTTGATTTCCACTGAAGTTCTAGACAGCGTTGGATCCTGTCTTCGCTTAGATAAATATTTATACCGCAATATATGTAGCCTTAATGCACTTCCCAGTGAATAATGAGAATTATGGATAACTTCTGCAGAGTCTGATCCTTCCTGTATTGAAACCGTTTGCTACTCACTATGCTACTGTGAGTGATAATCGTAGTCGGTACTATTTACCAAAATACTCTGACCTGTTGTCCTTTAGGTTGACTGGGACGATTTCTGAAGTAAATTCGAGCTTTTCTGCCACAAACACTGATTTTTAAAAAGTAGTCGAAGGAATGCATAGTAAACAAGTTCCAACAAAAAGGCAACAGAAAAAGAACAAGCCACTACCTTACTACCACAACGAGCACCATTTCGAATGCACTTCCTTTCACATAATGTGATATGGTTTTGCTGCCCACTCCCAACTCCGGAAGTTCATCTGAAAATAGTTGTAGCAAGTCAGGGTCCTTTGATGTGTGACCTTATATGTATTTTACTTGGGAGTTGTTCGAGGAAATTGGTAAAGTTAACATCTTACTATAGGTATGGGTAACGCTTAGAACTCCAGAATATTATGACGAGCCTTAAGGAAGTATGTACCCTTCGCACTGTGTACTAGGCGCTGTGAATTGAGAAACAACGAAGCCAGGACATAGTTTTCATTGATGTGCATACTCAGTAATGCTGACTAATGAAGAGAATTATCACCACAGTTTCCCTTGGAATAATTTGAAACCACGTTAGAGGAATGGAGTAGACTCAGCAAACTCGCTCGTTGTCTAACCTTCGCCACTGTAAGGAATAAGTTCAGAAAGACACCTAATCCCTCTGAAACAAAATAGATGAGAAAACTGCTAAATTCCTTCTATGACATGCTAATTTCTCTCTGGCACGCATAGCGAATGAGGTCTTGAATCTTTTGAACAGTACAGGTTAGTCTACTGTTAAAAAGGTTTTTTACCGGGTACTGAGTATAACAGTTATGGGAGGGTTTACTGACATTAGCCCCATTTAGTCTGGAACCTCTAGAATCCAGATATGTTCTAATCTCAATAACCGTCGAGGAGAATCTACACTTTGTAGAATCAATCAATAAGATCAATAAGCATGCTTCATTGTAGCAAGCTATCCTTGGCGCTCGTTACGTGTTCCCAACTCGCTCTTAACCTAGGCTCACGCTTGGTCAAAGCCAGCGTTACAAGTCTTCTCATATTCCCTTCAGCTATTCCTTTTCGAAACATCAATTTGTCAAACGAACACTACAGGTGAAATCAGCTCAAAAAGCTCTACTAAGCATGTACAAGTATGGCAAAAACTCCAAAAACGATTAGCTCTTGATCTCCAGATCAGATCAATATGTCTGTGTAGGATCGATTGCTCTGATCTCTGACATTGGTGGGCGAAAGAAAAAGCAGTCACCTGTGTTGGCACAAGAGAACGAGGAGAGGGGTATGTGCCAAGTCGTGCGTCTGAGGACGCGTGCAGCAAATCGCGCGGCGAAATCCATGATGATAGGAACGACTTTATCGCCTATCATTGTGGCCCAAATTTGAAGTAAAGAAGATTATCGGGATCAGTTAACCTTACTGATCTACTTTACTTCAAATTTGGGCCATAATGATAAACGCCGCAGTCGTTCAAATTCGCCGCGAACTTCGCCGCGCAGTTTGCCGCGCGCGTCCTTTACCGTCCCCCCGAGGAGAGCGCAGACGGGGAACGAAAACGAGGGACCGACGGCATCGACTGTGGATCAACATTGGCCACTGAATGGCCAAGGGAAAGAGGCATAGGGAGGAAAGTGAAGATCAATGAAAAAACATATTGGAAGTTTATTATACAACTTATATAGCTCTGCATAGAGATTAAAAATATCAAATTGACTTTCCAATTAGTGAACTAGAAAGTGAGAATGGGAAGGCTCTTTCCAAAGTGACAACCTCGAAAAGGGGGCTGGAACATCCAAATTGATGTGAAAAATCTTTTCGATCACGTATAAATTGTACGAAAGCCTGTTTAACGAACTTCCTCTGTCTTTTTGCTGGCCCCTCCATTTGGAGGGAAGGGCTGCATTTTTTTTTATTCAATTGATATTAGAGATCAAACAATCGATCGTGCAAACAGATTTGTGTGATCTGAAGGACGAGAACTAATTATTTTGAGATTCAACTTGTGATTCATATATGCATAGATACAGTAATAGTTACCGATTTCTACCGGTGAAATTCTATTGGCAAATTGCCAGTTTGGAAAGGAGCAGTGAGAGGGGAAGAAGACAATTGCATTGCGCACAGCCTGCCCAGCGCATTCCGCCGCTATCATGAAGAGGCTTCCAGCTAGTATAAACTCAATAACGGGTGTACTCTCAAAATATCAAAGAAAACCTGATATAAAGGTACTGTAAATAGGGTCAGAGGACCATAACCCTAAACATAAGATGAACTAACTGTATACTTACCGTCATCAACAGTTGTAGTTACGGGACCGACTTTTTCTTCCAACTTTTTCTCGATATCATTAACAAACTCGTTCCATCTCTTTACGACATTCTCAAAACTTTCCACAGTAACAGCTGGAATGAATTATAGAAGTAGGACGTGTTCTTCATAGTGTTTCTGGGTAGGCCTAGATGAAACTTTACCTACAGTCTCATTTTTTTTCTTTCATTTTTACAGTCTAGCGATTTTACTGATGACTTGGGATCTTTTTTGGGAACCCCTTATATGCACTTTTATGAAATAACGAAAAATGTAGTTGATTTTTTTTCAGTTGACTTACCACCTCTCAAATTACAATGTTCAGCAAATTGCTATTTGAAATTCATTACCGGAGGGTGGCAGAAATAGGTTTTTTTTGCCTCGTTTTTATACCATAGCAACGCGAAATCTACAAATACTGAGAACACCAACGTGGTAATTTGAGGCTTAAAAATGAAGGTACTAGTAGACTGAATATTCCCAAAGTAGGCTTACAAAGACAAAGGACGAAGAGAAAAGCCTGACTCCAATCAGTCCCATTTTGGGATGCGCCCGGCATTCTACTCACATTCAGAATCGTGGCGGCGTATTGAGTGAATAGGTGGCCTGTACAAGAACTTGCGGTGCCCAGCTAATGTTACGGTAGTTCCAACCAGGAATCCAAGAAGATAACTCGTTTATGTTTTTGAAAAAACAATGATCATTCACAATTCACTGCTTCTTATTCTCCGAGACAATGCCGGAAGGGACCTCCGACCTGGAGGGTATCAAGCTGAAATTTTTTTGTTCTTTGGGTAATACTTATGAGACCGTCTCATGGTACTGCTACTTCTTAGCAGAAACGGACCATGAAAATTATTTTATAAATATTAATTTGATTGACTTACAGGCCTGCTTAACAACAACAATTACCTGATTACCTGTTTCGGAATCTGTTCGAAGTGATTCCAGCGCTTTATTGAATTCGGCAACTGTTTTGACATTGAGAATTTCGAACAACTTCCCAATTTCAGCACACAATTCAGCGGGTATAAACCGATTTTTGATGTAATTGACTGCGAAGACAACAACAGAATTATGGCCGAGAAACTGGAAAATTCCTTATTATTTGTTTTTTTCAACTTACAGATGATCATAATGTTTGGCCTTACATCCTTGTATTCATCCATTTTGCAAGAAAGTTTTTGAGAAAAGTGAGATAGTTGATCTTGAGCAGTGTCGTGCAAAGGGACATGTGTCGTGGGAAGAACGAGAATATCTCGCATCTGGAAAATTTTTAATTGAAAATGCAATCATTGAATTAATCGATTCGTATCCGGTCCACATGAAAAAGAAGAACCCCATAAACACTTTTGCCCCGTGAAAATCGAACGATTTTCCATTTCATATTTTTGCAATGAATCCCAGTACACTTAAAAAAGTTCCTAACTTCCGCAGTTTTTTAAATTACTATTGAACAATTTAATTAACTTTCCAAGAACCCCTCCCTCATCTCCATCCGCGTCGTTCCCAAGTAATAAAATAGTTCCCTCTCCCTTAGATTCCCTATCATACATTTGTTCCTCTACACGTAGCAGTACTGATGGTGATACATATTACTACACAGCTTTATGTTTTCTCCCTCTTAGCGCTTACTACCAGAGAACTATTCGACGCTAGCTGGGTCTGCATAAAGCAAAATTGAAAGAATTTCTCGGATGTCGGGAAAGACCTCATACAAAAACAGGATACTGAGGAAATCAGGGAATTTGATAGAAAACTAGCAATAATATAGAAAACTTTGAAAAATTAATATGAAAGTATACATCAGCTTTATCCTAAGTTGCTTCGACAAATCTTTGAAAATATATCAGAAAGTGGTATAGTCACCTCATTGTCCATATTAGCACAGGGGGTCGCTTCATCTTCTTCTTCACCCATTTTATTGCCAGCAAAATGCCTGGAATAATTAAACTTTTGTTAGAAACATTTTTGTAAACGATCATGAAAAAGAGTAGTTAATTGAAGTGATAAACGCGATTTCAATTAAATTTACAAGAAGATTCAGATGCTGTACAGTAACGAATTCGAAACAGCGAAGGGCTAGACTAGCAAAGAAAAAGATCGATGAGACGCTTTCTTCTTTGGGTTCTGACTGACTGTGGGTCAAATTTAGGGGGAAAAATAAAAGGTTCTAGAAAAATATCGAAATAAACTAAAAATGAAACCAATTCGCGGAAAAACACTTTCGAATATTCAAGATTCAATTGTTCCCTGACATATGTAAGTTGTGATTGATACAAACACTAGCAGAACAAGCTAAAAGGGAAATCATGACATCCGCTCCTCCCACTCTTTCACCGTTAACCCGCTCATCCTCTCTTCGTTGGAGAGATATCAGTAGTAGTAGTAATAGCAGTAGTAGTAGCAGGGGACCCAAGACGGCAAATATTTCTGATTTTCGCGTCTCATCCACGTTTACTACCGACTTGAATGTGCTATTAAACAGCCAATTTCGGTGGTTGTGTTTGTCCTTGAAAAGGCTTCAGCTGTCTCAATGGGTTCCGTGAAAGGGAAGCGACATAGTGGACAGAAGCTTGGGGGCTTTTGAAAACGGAATTAGCAAAAAATGATCTATTCACAGCTATTTATTGTGCATTGTGTTGAATATTGCTATGTTTCATTAAATCGACAAACAGAGTTGAAAAGTTAGAAATACAAGCTGAAAATTTACTCTGCATAGGCCCCCTCTTTTCCAACCTTCCCACCCCCCCCCCCCTCTCCCCCCTCCCCCCTCCCTCCTCTGTTAAAAAAGCATCTTGATGCAACTGATAGACTGAAAACTCCCCATCCCCTCCACTCCTACATTCCTCCACTTCTTCCCTCCATTCTCATTCTTCACAGAAATCAAGAGTAGCATGACGCGATTGCTCAAAGAATAGCTCAGAAAATTGGACGTGAGTCTATCTGATCTGTTTTTATCCATGAATACAGATTACATCGCATTCCAAGGTTTTATAATGAAGCCCTAATACAGTCCAATTTCAAGCATTCAGAAAAGCGATCAGCCACTGTAAGGTTCTCACACGGCTTTTCTCCATTTGGGTGACTTTTCTTGATGTTTGTAATTTCGATTTATATGAAATGATCAGGTCAGTATTTAGAAAATTGTTTTTGACCTATTTTACACATGTTTTTTTACATACTCCATGATGAATGTATAGGGCGTAGACATTGGGGGGATACAATTAAGAACACCGAAGCGGGCAGAACAGGGTATTTGACCCTCTAAGGAAAGGAGAGGTTGTGGTGGATAGGAAGAGAGAGAGAGGAGGTTCAGGGGGATGGTAAATGGATGAATACAAGATCATTTTTTGAGCCGGCTGAGCATGAGGACAAAGTTAATAATATACGACTAGAAATTCACAATGGTAGCAAAAGAAGAATCTTTTCAGCTCGAATGCCCAGAAGAAATGGGACTTATAATAGGCCATTCCGGTTTCTTACCCTTCAATGACTTTAAATAAGTAGTCTATAATTAGACTATGAGGTAATAATCATAATGACTACATGTTAGCAACATTCAGACCTTTCTAAGGGGCTGCAGAAGTGATTGCTTAAGATGTATATTCCCGTCTTACCGCAGTAATGAATGTAAAGCTGTGTGACTGTGGTTTTCCTCTCCCACCATGGTTCCCTGTGGGGTCAGAAACCTTATTAACAACAGAGCTCATCTTCCATAATGGGTAGCGAAAATGGCCCCCATTCACATTCATATACATGCACATATGCAGTTATACATGTGTATGTACATGTATGCCATTACCAGTCACACTTCCAGGAATACGGTAGCTGTGAATGTCTATTTATAGCTAGAATAAAATGGGAAAAATGGGTATCGCCCAAAAGCTGGTTAATGAGGTACTCTTCTGAAGCTCGAGATATTATGCTACGATTAAAAAATAAACGGAAAAAAGGATGAATTTGACAAGGATTCGTCAACACTATTCTGAGATTTACCCACGTCCTCGACTTCCTGTCAGAATCATCATGACGCAATTTGCACTATGACATGAGGGGGCAAGCCGATCTACAAGTCACAACTTCTATTCATCCAGACGGGTCTGACCCGTAGAGGTGGAAGGATTGGTTCAGACAGACGGGTAACGACTCCGGACTTCTTACCCACGAAGGTGCCACCTACTGCTACCATACCTCCTTCTTCCTCTTCATGAGGTAAATTCAAATTAAGAAGTTCAAGGAGTTGATAGCGACTTCTGTAGCGCGCCAAAACCATGAGGATCTCTTTGTACTCAAAAATCTTATAGTTACCTAGTACTGAAATGATGGGATGAGGTTTATTATATTACCAGAGTGTTGCTGACTAGTGGAATAATTACCTACTTACTTGTGTTCTCTTGAAATAATTGATACAATTTCAGAATGACCGATTATTCAATTTTAGTCGATTATTTATTTAGAGTTTTCGCTTCGAGGTGTTCTGCTAAAAGGTTTTCCCATTGGGGCAGGACCTGAGATCCCCCCTGAAGATTTTTTTTGCCAGTTATCAAACATCACGAGGCTATTTCTAAGAAGGAAGTTCAGAACATCTGTCCGAACTAATTTCATATTCATTCATTAAGCCAAACGCTTTCATGAAATAAGAGTGTCAAACAAATTTCTATGAAATGGCAAAGGTAAGAAGCTCAAAAGTCAGGATTAGCAACAAATGAGGGCTGAATACAAAGCGACGCCAGCTCCAAAGAGGGGCATAAAAACCACGACATTACCCATTAAAAGTAACGAGGCAATGGAATTGCTGAAATTTTTCGAGCTACGGATGATCACATTTGAAATCAATACGTATTTAATACGTTCATCTACTACGGGATCGCAGAGGCCTCCGCCGCGCGCGATGTGATCTAGTTCCATTGACGATAGAATTGGACGTTCCCCTTTCCAGCCCTCTCTCTCCCCTGGAAATTAACCCAATTCGACCACACCGTCTCGCCCTTTCCCTTAAATCTTTTACTCCTCCACTCTTCACTTACTCATGATGTTTGATGCAGAATTATGGCTCTCTTTCAGATGATCAGACGGAGATTGCGACTTCCCTCCTTTTGTCAAGTATTCGACAAACTAAGCATCATGGAGGGGGGGGGGGGGGGGGGNTTTTTTTATCAAGATGCTATTCCGATCGTCCCTTTTTAAGCTGCTCAGGGCACAAAGAACCGTCAGAACGTTTACTGAAGGAAAACTAGAGTAAGGATTTCTTGTCCACAGTATCGCCTACGGCAGTACACGTCCAAGACTACTTTGGCCTTCGATACTGTCTTGTTATTTATGTCGTCAGGTGATATTTAATACTTGTTATAATCTTCGCCTGCTTTATCTCACCTAAGTAGTTACTGGCTTGAAGACTATTATGGAAGATCAAATTGACGTGGCTTGACTGCATCCTTGAATAATCCGAACCAGTTGTAACCCTTATTCCCCGTCAGCGCGATCCCTCTACAGTGACCCATAACGGGTTACTGTAGATATATGCTAGTCTGCACCACACCCAATCGATATTTCAGGCGATAATATTCCAAGGAATTTCAACATTTCCCATTTAGCAGCATAGCCTTTTCATGATTATTAGTACGAAAAAAGTAGTGCCCTTCCAGATGCCTATTTACTGGACCCCATTATTTTTATTTATTCATGGGAAGCAATGGAAATAATCGTCAACAGAGCTACAGCATTTATAAAGTAGAGACACTGTATAGTCGAAAAATGTTCAGCTACTGATCAAACTACTCGACACGGAGTAGGAAAAAACGGGAGAATATGCCTGCAGAGTAGGATTGACCTGAGAGGATGAAAAGAAAAGCGCTATAAAATACTAAGGAACGCAACAATTCACGTCGTAAGCTTGGAGTGAGTGTGTAAGTCCATGTCAGCTTCAGTTAATTCGATTCAAGTGCTTGTAACTGGATTCCCACAGGTACATTAGAGAAGGTAAAGAGAAAGTACACGACTGTGAGCCGTCTCGGGGCGGCTGAGAATCGTGTACTTCCAAGCTTGTCTGGGAAACTCCCCAGACACGCTAAACTTGGGGATACAGCTCGCGAAAATGTTTTTGTTATGTCCCTTTTAGGATGGATCTCTGCTCCTCCCCCTTGCACACCCCTCATACTGTATGTGAAGTAAATATCGGAAAAAGTATTAGATTTATAAGGCCTCAAAAATCATAGGCCACACCCACCCGTGGCCGAGTTCCGAAAATCAAGAGGAAGTACCA